CCAACGAGAGCCTCAACAACAAGGGCCAGTGGGACCTCCTCGACGCCACCTGGCGTCGCGCGTCTACTTTGTCGGCAACCGCCCGACGCTCGCGGACGCGACGCTCTTCTACGTCATCTACAAGGCCTTTGTCAAGTCGCACGGCGCGGTCTCCAAGCACGTCAACCTCCGCCGTTGGTTCAACCAGCTCCAGCACACGGTCGGCATCCGCGGCTTTGAGACGATGCCCATCATTGACGTCGCCGTGCACCAGCACTTGCTCATGGTCCACACGACGACGACGACCGCCGACAAGAAGGCACCGGCTGCCGCTGCTGACAAGACGGCGCCGGTGGCTGATAAGGCTGCTCCCGCCAACAAGGCCAAGGTACTTTGCCCCATTGCACGATTCTATATCATGCGTGACCGCCTTCGACTGCCTAGCCGGACGCCAAGACGGAGGGCAAGGCCAAGAAGGACGAAAAGCCCAAGAAGGAAAAGAAGGCGGCGGCGCCTGCACCGGTCGCCGACGCGCAGCCCGACATTACCAAGCTCGACATCCGCGTCGGCAAGATCGTCAAGGTCTGGAAGCACGAGACGGCAGACAAGTACGCTCCTTCCACACCCCTCCTCCTTCGCCTCATCCTGGAACGATAGGCTCTACTGCGAAGAGATCGACGTCGTACGTCATCTCTTACGTGCTCGTGACAACGACTAATTGTCTCTTCTTGTGTCGATCAGGGCGAGGACGCGCCGCGCCAGATTGCCAGCGGCCTCGTCAAGCACTACTCGCTCGAGCAAATGGAAGGTCGCATGTGCCTCGTCATGTGCAACCTCAAGCCGCGAGCGCTCGTCGGCTTCAAGTCGCACGGCATGGTGCTCTGCGCCGTCAAGACGGACGCCGGATGGGCACGGAAAAGGTGGCGTTGTCGAGCCGCCGGCCGCCGCCAAGGTACGCCGTACTATGTTCCATCTGTGCGTTCACGCAACTTGATGTAGCCCGGTGAGCGCATCGTGTACGAAGGCTTGACGGGCGAGCCGTTGAGCCCGGCACAGGTCGAGAAGCAAAAGGTGCTCGTCGCCGCCGGCGAGGGCCTTAAGTCGGACGCCCACGGCATTGCAATGTGGAAGGACCACAAGTTTATGACGAGCGCCGGGCCGTGCTCGTCGCCGAGCATCACCAACGGCATCTTGAGATAAGCTCGTCGTGCCCGCTTGTGCGCCGCGTAGCGAGGTCCCATTTTGAAGCACATAATGTACGCACGCCAAGAGTGCTTGCAACAATCGACGCATGCTTGGAGGCTACAACTGTCGTTGTGTTGAGCGGTCGACAGTACCCATCACAGGTCTTGAACCGCGTTCCAGGTGCGCGTAGTATTAGCAGCGTCCAATGCGGTCGAGTATGGGTCCAACCATGGAGCACGAAGAGACGGTCCGCGCTTGATACATGCAGGTGCCATGGGCTCTGCCATGACGGCGGCAGCAGCGGCCATGGGGCGCTGACGATGCATCAATGTGGCGTTTGGAGTGCTGTTTCTTTTTGAACCAATGGCATCGCGCCAAATGGAACTCGGCGGCGTATATTTGACCAATCAACGCACAGTTTGCAATCCAAGTCCCCGACGTCACTTGTGGAAGCCGACGAGCGATGGCGCAACCGGGTACGCGCGCCGACCTTGGCATAGCACCGCACCGACCTCGCTGCGTGTAGTTCCCTTCCGCAACCCGAGCGCGCCGTACCAGCCGCGCCGCGCGGGCTTCAACCCCCAGTACCCAGCGCCAGCGGCGAACGACTTTTTCGACGGATCCGCCCACACGGGCAGCGACAATGGCAGTGGCAATGGGTACCCCGACCAGCGCCAGGTGACGCGTCGTGGCTAACATGCGTGGACTGACGGCGTCGCTCCGTAGGCGTACAACCGCGGCCACGTCACGCCACAGGAGCCCATGTACGGCCAGTCCCAAGGCATGATGGGCCAGCCGCAAGGCATGATGGGCCAGCCACACGGTATGATGGGCCAGCCGCACGGTATGATGGGCCAGAGCGCGCCGCCAATGGGCGCGTTCTTGGGCCAGGCCATGGGCAGCAGCAGCCCCGAAGAACTTCTCAAGTACGTATACCGCCTTGCATGTCCATGGACGACTCATGCGATGTAGCAACCCGATGGCCGGCTACATGATGTCGCAGGGCGTGGGCTTTATGGAAAACAAGATCTCGTCGTTCGTACCGGGCGCGAAAGGAGCGTTTGGCTCGGTCAAGTACTACTTTACCGTCAACAACTTGTATGTGGTCACGCGCCTCAAGGTCTTATCCGTGGCATCGCTCCTGCCGTCGCGTTCCTAGATGCTGCTTGTGCCCTATCTGCACAGCAACTGGCGCCGCCGCACCGAGCCTGGCGAAGCCAACGGCGAGATCATGTACAAGCCGCCGTCCGAAGATGTGAACGCGCCGGATCTGTACATCCCGCTCATGAGCTTTGCCACGTACATTCTTCTCGTCGGCTTCATCAAGGGCACGTCGGGCCAGTACGTACTACCTACCTCGCTCTCGTATGTCCTACCTGGTATTGAGAATGGCGCTAGGTTCAACCCCGACGTCATTGGCGACGTGGGCATGTATTGCGTCATGCTGCAGTGCCTCGAGATTGCGGTCATGAAGGCGTGCTTGCACGTGCTCAACAGCAGCGTCTCGTTCCTCGACCTCGTCTCGTTCACAGGCTACAAGTACGCGCCGCTCGTGCTCAACACGGTCGTGCGCATGCTATTGGGGTCCATGGCGTACTACATGGCGCTCATCTACACGGGCTTGACGACGACCTATTTCATGCTGCAGTGCCTCAAAGGCTCGGTGCCCGAGCCTAACTACGAGTCGCGGCGCTTCCGCACGTACATGCTCCTCGGGTACGTCGATCCATCGTCTCTTGTGCTCAAGCGATGTTTTAGGTTGTCGGCGGCCCAAATGCTGCTCATTTGGTGGAACTCGTACACGGGCGAGATCCAGGCGTAATGGCTTCTGTCGCCCCGTAACACGACGATTGCATGGTTCCGTTGCATGGTGTGCCTGGGTGTGCGGCGAATATGGCGGGTCCCGTGCTTGATTAGCTAAGCGCGCGATGAGCGGCCGGGAGCGTCAACATTGAACCCTACCCCTGCAACTGGTCTCGCTGCGATCGCCATGCCCTCTTGATATTAATACCTTTGGAACACGAAGAGGTGATCGATGCGGCGCAGTCGCTCCTGCCGTCTACTGCGTCAACGCCTGCGATCCAGTCGCCTCCTCGACGTCGACACGACTGCGGTGGCGACGGTGTGTTGATGCATCCAAGATACCGCGTCGTGTGATTGGTGGATGCGTGAGCCAATCCGTGCGGTCCATTATAAAAACACCCTTGGCATACAAATATCAAGGCATCCAGTCGACGGTAGCAAGTCAAAATAAAAACAGGTCAGGTACAATCCATGCCATTCACCGCAAACCGGATTTGACGAGGCCATGGCGATCCCGACCGTGTACGTGGCATCGCTCAGCGCCTTTGTCGCGGGCGTCGCCATCAGCTTGCAGCGCTACGAGCTGCCATTTGCCATACTGCTTGGCCTTCTTGCTGCGTACGTCCCGAGCTTCTTTGCCCCGACGCAGTTCTCGCAACGGGGTGCATATTGGCCATGGTTTGCGACGCTGCCGCTCTGGAAGGCGCGCGCGCCGGTGCCCACGACGCTGCACTTTGAGTCGCCGCTCTCGAAAGAGACCCAGTACCTCTTTTCGTCGCACCCGCACGGGCCCACGTCGTGGCACCACGGCGTCATGCTCACGGGCGCGTCGACGCCGGCGTTCCACGACGTCATTCCCGGCGATCGCCGCCGCCACCTCGGCGCGTCGATCGTGTTTCGCATCCCTCTCTACCGCGAGCTGCTGCTGTGGCTCGGTGTCGTCGATGCCAGTCGGTCTGTCGCGCATCGCGTCTTGTCGTCGGGCAAGAGCCTCGTGATCCTCGTCGGTGGCATCCAAGAGCAAATGCTCGCCGAGTATCAAAAGCACCACGTGTTTCTTCGGTCGCGCAAAGGTACAGTGTGACTTCTTCTGTGTACAATAATGTCATATAAACATGCGTAGGCTTTGTCAAGCTCGCGATCCAGCACGGCGCGGCCATCGTGCCCGTGTACGCCTTTGGCGAGAACGACCTCTTCCGCCCGTCCACGTACGAATCCCTTCATTGCTGCTGCGAAGCGAGATTGCGTAGGTTTCTGCTGCCGCTGCGGCAATGGATTGCCCGCAAATTCCTGATCGCGATCCCGCTCTACGTTGGCCCGACTTGGTGGAACCCACTCAAACCGTTCCCGGTCGAGATCCACCAAGTGTACGGCAACCCGATCCAAACGACCAAGTGCGACAGCCCGTCCAGCGACGACGTCGATCGCGTCCATGGCCTCTTCCTCGCCGAGCTCCAGCGCATCTTTGACACGCACAAGGCGGCGTACGCGACGCCGGACGCCAAACTCGAAATCTTATAAGTCGACGATTGACGGAAGACTGCAACCAAGACCGATTCCCTGCACTACTTGCGTCGCTTCCCAACAGGATGCCAGGACGAGGATGCTTTGGCCCGTGGACGGCTCCAAATACCGCCGAGAAAACAGTCTTCGCCACCACTAGGGTTAGGGTCGTTGCGACCAACATTCGACGCAGGGTACATCTGAGGCGGCGACACCGCCGAGACACGAGTCGGCAGTAGTTGGAAGCGTGCCATGGGAATGCAGTGCCATAAACGAGGTCGTCGTCGTGTGCATATGGTGATGTAGAAGCGTGATGCCAAGCTATACAGTGTGCAAGGCGTACATACGAGTCGTTCTATTGAACAGGGCGAGAAAGACGGTCGGGCGTCGATCGACTAGGCCACGTAGACGTAGACGGCGGCGCTGCGCGACGCGCCGGTGGACGTGAGGCGAACGTACTCTTTCTCCACGAGCAGGTCCAGATTGGTTTGCACGAAGTCGGTCGACGGCACGAATTGGTTGACGAGCATCGCCGTCACCTCCGCGTGGAGCTGCCCGAATGAGCACTCGCGCCGCGCCTTCATCACGCGAACGAGCGCGGCCTGGAGTGCCATCTTGCGGTCTTCCGTGACTTCGCGGGGCGGCCCACTGGACGACGATGGCGACGAGGCCGACGACGACGACGACGCTGGCGGCTCGAGCACCGACTGCACCGGCATGGCCTAATACCCCGACACCATTACAGCTTCGCGTCTCTTTCATCGGACGGCACCTTGATGCGCGACCGCTTGTGCGCAAACGACTCGTTGAGCGTGTACAGGGCGCCATCGACCGACGCGAGCAGCTTCATCTAGAGAGCAGGTCAGCTTCCATCAGAGCAAACCCAATGACCTTGACGAACGGATGCAGCTGCTGGTGCACGGCGTCGAGGCTCGGCACGCGCGTGGCGTCGCGCAGGTCGGTCGCCCGCCACGACGACCGGTCGTTGAACTAGAACGTCGATTGAATCAGACGGCGAAAGATTGTGGTGGGCGGCGCACGAGCATCAGAAGGATCATTTGGTACAGACTCGCGTGGATCTCATAGAGCCGGCCACCGAGGCTCAGTCGGAGAAGCCCGTGCGAGAGGTGGTGGACCCAGTGCAGGCGCCGGCCCGAGCTCTGGCCGACGTAAAAGGTCGTAAAGAGGTCCACTTGATACTGGCACACGACGGGGAGCTGCAGCGTCGAGGCTGTCGACGGCGTCGGGATCGGCCACACCCCCGCGGTGAGCACGTCAAAGCCAAAGGCGACCAGGTAGTTGGGTTCGTTCATGCCATGGTGGTCATGGCGCCATTGCCGATATGCGTTCGTTGTCGTCTGCAGCGTCGTCGTTCCATTTGTACATATCCATGTTTCAAGACTCGTACCGAGCTCAGGAGCTTGTCGGCAAACATCTTTTGGAGCTTGGACACGAAATCACAGCCGCAGATATCCCGCAGCTTTTGCACCAGAAGCACTTCGAATTCGTGGGCCATGGACGTGCCTACGGTCTTTTGAGACGACAGAAGACGCTTCTCGTGGTGTCGCCAACCATGGATGAGCCGCTGGGAAAGCAGCTTGGCGTAAAACGTTTTGAAGATGTCCTTGTCGTCCAAGAGGCAAAAGACGACGCCGATCTGGTCAATCTTGACCTCGATCTCGTTGTCGTTGAGCCCTACGCGTTGTTGTTCCATATATAGAATATCAATGTATCAAGAAACCAGGTTTGGTCATGAGTACGTGGGTGTACTTGGCGAGGAGCTCGGGCAGGCGCGGGTGGGCGTTGGCAAAGGCCCGACAGGCTTGGTCCAGCGCCGTGCGCATGAGCGCGTGGAAGCCAAAGGCGTCGCGGATGAGGTCGACAAACTGCTCGCGCACGCGTACGAGTGCTTCAATGTACAGCTGCGGGTTGCGCAGCGTCTCGTCCATCGGGAGCTGCTTCACGACGCCGAGGCCTGTTTTCTCAATGAACTTTTTAAGATTCGTCTACCGAGATCCGAATTGAGTTTCAGATCGGATAGAGAGACCATGCGTACCTTGAACAACATGAGCGCGTGCTCGTTCGGCAGCTCGGAAAAGAGGGTAAAGAGACGCCGGAGGTCCGACGTCTGGTTGGCGGCCAGGAACGCGTCCACGTGTTCGCAAAGGCGATCCGCGTGCTCTTCGACGAGGACGCGGCAACACGTTTGTCGCGCCTGCTTGACCGTGCTATCCATATATGCGCATGCTCGATATGGGTCGACGTGGGTGCGCAGCGTACATGCGGTGCATTTTGCCGTCGCAGCGGCGTTCTTCTTGCTTGCAGAGAGCTTCGACGTGAGCGAGGTACTCGGCGATCGAGAGCCGCGAAAGGAGGTCTTGGGCGACGCCGGCGTAGTACACTTCCGTGTCCTACTTGCCGGCTTGAGTATCCTTGCGTTGCAGGACGAGTACCATGAGAAAGACCGACTCGACTTCGAGGCGGTAGAGCTTCAGCGGGTCTTGCTTGTTGAGCCCGAGCACGAGGTAGATCTGCACCTGTGTACTGACGTTCTGGTCCAACGATCAAGATGCGCACCTGCACCGTCGTCGCAACGAGGTCGCCGTGCTCGAAGAACGCGTCGCCCGCCTCACGCGCCATGCGAAAGATATGCACGAGTGCATTCACAACGCGGTGCTTGAGCGCGCTGTGTGCAATGTCGCGCCAAATGCGCAGCGCGAGCTAGCCCTGGTCTTGAGCGTTCACTGCGATTTGTGACGAGTGCTATACCTCGGGCACGGGGTACACGCCTGGAATCGGTGCTTGGCCGTACTCGGAGTGGGCGTATCGAATCCAATACCGGTTCTAGATTTGCGTCGAATGAGGACATCAAACGACGCAAATGGCGACGCACCAAGTAAGCGAAGAGCTCCGAGACGTAGTTGCTGCCAGTCGAGTAGACGTTAAAGTGCGAGCAGTAGAGGGCGAGGAACTCAGCGTCGCCCGGCTCGGCTGTCAAGAGCTACGCCCGCCAGATCCGAGACTCGAAGATGCGACAATGGTGTCGACGTACCTCGACGATCTCGGTAACGCGGCGCACGAGGATTTCGCGCAGCTGGAAGAAGAGCGCCTCGGCTTGCGGCGCGCCCGGGTTGGTGCAGATGCTGTACACGCCGTGGTAGACGCCCTGCCACTTTTCGTTCGAGAACGGAGCGTGCGAGCCGTTGACGAGGACCTCCACGGACGGCTCGATCTCGTTCCAGACCATATCAAAGTCCACCTAGTCGGCCATGAGGCTCGGCGTATGCGCGCGGGACGGCCAACGCACCGGCTTGGACTTGAGCAGCGACATCGCCGTACCTGCGTCCTATCTTCTTCAGCTGTGGAATGTTTTTGGATCCACCCTCTGATTTCTGATACCTTCGAGTATTCACTTATAGAGGTATACGGAAGGGATATAGTGTACGTCGACTCCACTAACAAGAACGGTGCCCATGTCGATGCAAGGCATCCGATGACGATGAGGCTACCGCAACCTTTAGTGCTGCAAGATGACAATGGCAGTAGACCTATCCTCCTTCCTGCGTTCCACGAGGGTTGTCAATTGTATAGAATACACACCAATAGCGTGTATCCATAAATAGTGTACATACTATGCATATAGTGTACTAACGAAATCGGATTGATTCGCGTGGACGCATGCTGCAGCGGTACAAGCTCACGGTCGAGTACCTCGGCAGCGCGTACCGTGGCTTCCAAGCGCAGCCCGAAGCCTGCGGGCCCACAGTACAGGCCGAGCTCGAGAAGGCGCTGGCGCTGCTCATGGGGTCACAAGACCGCCTCTCCCGCGTCGTTGTCTCGAGCCGCACCGACGCCGGCGTCCACGCGGTGGCCAACACGGCGCACGTTGACCTGCAACGCGCCGTGCCGCACCCGCCGCAGGTCGTACGCAATGCCATGAACGCGTTCTTGCGCCAGCGCCACCAGGCGATTGTGGTCCGCGACGTTGAAGTTGTAGCCAACGACTTTCACTCGCGCTTTGAAGCGATCGGTCGCGAGTACATTTACCAGATCCACATGCCCAAGGCCGAGTTCCGGCATGCGCTGCCAGGCCGCCTGCCCTCCGCGCTCTTCACGCGCGACCTCTCATGGCACGTCGAGCGGCCGCTGGACACTGCGGCCATGGCGGCCGCCTGTACCCACTTTCTTGGCGAGCACGACTTTACGAGCTTCCGCGGCGCCAAGTGCCAAGCGCCGTCGCCGATCCGAACGCTCACGACGCTCGACCTTGAGACGCTCGCTTCACACCGCGCGGACGAGCTCAACGAAGACGATGCGACCACGCTCTTGCACGTCAAGGCCGCGGCCCCGTCCTTTCTGTACCACATGGTGCGCAACATCGTCGGCGCGCTCGTCGACGTGGGCATGCACAAGCTGCAGCCGGAGGACATTCCACGTATCTTGGCCGCCAAAGACCGGTCGGCCGCGCCGGCGATGGCACCCGCCCACGGCCTGTACCTGCGGCGGGTGCTGTGCAAGCCGCCTCCTTTGACGACGCACAGCACAGCACCGGTGGTTAAGGACGGTGAATAGAGATAGAGACCGTGTATCGTCGTGTCTTATTAGTAGCACTGCAGAGACACTCGGAGGCTGACCTGCCAGAGTGGTGCACGCTGTGCCGAGTACTGTGCGCAGAGTAGCCAGCTAAAAACACCCAATTTTACGTGCTCCGTAAGGAATTCGCCGGTGCAGCGACCGCGCCGCATCACAAGCTAGCGCGTCACCAAATGTGAAGCCCGAAAGTAGATAGTTAACCAAGGTGGCGGGTCAAGACTTGCTATTGCTCCATTGGGGCAGCCGACGTGGCGCCACTTGAGGGATGTTGGAATAGACTACCGCGGCAGATCTTCCGGATACGGAAATGCGAGTATCCGGGGGCCCATTTCTGGGATGACGTCGTCGAGTGCGCTCGGCGCGACTGCGGTCGTCGGCGCTTCGTACGCAGCGATCGCGTACCTCTTCCACGTGCATGCGCCGCAAGCCTACATGGTGCTTCCGCATGCTATCGTTCGCTGCTAAGCGCATGCGCCTAGGACGAGATCTTCCACGTGCCCCAGACGCAGCAGTACTGCCAGGGCCATTGGGGTACGATCATGGTTTGGCCGCCTACCGCGCCTCTTATGCATGGGCTAGACACATGGGACCCGAAGATCACGACCTTTCCCGGGCTCTACGTGGCAGGCGTCGCGTTTGCCAACGTCGTGCACGTGCTGCAGACGTTCTCGGTCTCGGTGCGCATTGCGTACTGCTCGACGACGGTGCTGCGCGTCGTGAACCTGCTCTTTGGAATCGGCAACGTCTACCTCATTGTGCTTTTGCGCCAAATGAAAGAGGTACGTGCTCTCGATGACGACGTCTGCAGATCCTCGTAGTACACGGCGCACGAGCGAACGCACGCGACCGCGCACGGCCTCATGATTGCGCTCTTCCCGATCAACGTCTTCTTCAGCTTTCTCTACTACACGGACGTGGCCGGGCTCTTCTTCGTGCTCCTCATGTACCTCCTCTCGCGCGTGAGCCAGCGCCAGCGCCTTCGCGCCGGGAGCTGCACGACGACGTACTTGGCCAGCGTGCTCGTACGACACTCTGTCGCTTGCGGGTGTATAGTGACGGAGGCGTGATGCTAATAGTGCGGGTACCTCGCAGTTGCGATGCGCCAAACCAACGTTCTCTGGGTGCTCTTCGTCCTGGGCACGGCCATCGTGCAGGACATTGAGACGACGCACGAAACGCACCTGTACGTGAAGAAGGCTCTGCATCTCTCTGTCTACCCCGGGCCTCCACGTAGGTATGCCTGTCCGAGCGGCGCCGAGCCGACCTCCCAGTACATCGTGCTAGGATGATGGCGCAGGCGCAACGTCCTCTTGTAGCCTTGGCATCGTGCTCCTCAAGTTCTTGACGTTCCTTCTCAAAGACTCGGTGGTGCTCGTCAAGCGCTACTGGCCGACCATCTCGATCCTTGCGGCGTTTGGCGCGTTTCTGGCTGTGAACGGCGCCATCACCGTTGGTACATACCCGACACTCACGTCGCCAACGCACAAGAATGGCACATGTAGGCGACACGGCCAACCACGTTGCCGGCTTGCATGTTGCGCAGCTCTTGTACTTTATGACGCTGGCCACCATGGGCTTTGGCCTCGTCTGTCCATCCATCCAACGAGTCGCCGCTGGTCGCAGGACTGCATCGACTGCTCCGTGCTAGTGCGTCTCGAAACCTTCTTCCGCGATGTGGCCCACGTGTTGACGTCGAGTCTTGGCTCGTGTCTGACATCGATCGCCGTCGTGGTCGCACTCGTTTTGGCGATTGACCGCTTTAGGTACGAGGCCTCGACGCTGTCTGCACTCGACGAATTGGCGCGTAGCCTGACGCACCCGTTCTTGCTCGCCGACAACCGCCACTACACCTTTTACATTTGGCAGCGCTTTTATCTCAAGCACGCGCTCGCCAAGTTTGTGCCGCTTCCGGTGTACATGTATGCGGCCTGGTTTCTCTGGAAGGAGCTCCGCAAGGCGACGACGCTGCTGTGGCTCGTTGTCTTTGGCCTCGCGACCGCCCTTGCCCTCGTGCCGTCGCCGCTCGTCGAGCCGCGGTACTTTCTCGTACCCTTCACGCTCCTCCACCTGCATTCGCCCAAGGTAGTACCTTGCCGTCGTCGTCTGGTGTCAACGGTGCATTGATTGTCGTGTAGCAACCGCTCCTTCCCGTGCTGTTGACGTCGGCGGTCTTTCTGGCCATCAACGCGGCAACGATCTACGTGTTTCTCTTCCGTCCGTTCACGTGGGTCGACGGCTCGGTCGCGCGCTTCATGTGGTAGAGAAGGGCACAATTGAGATAGGATTTTAAGCATAGTGTCTTATCAAATTACAGGCACGCCTCCGCTTACTCGGGCCGGCTCGCATACCGCTTCTGGAGCATCGCCATCTCGGCTGGGTCGTTCCGGACCACGTCAAAGCCAAAGGTCGACGGACCGTCGCGGTCTTGGAGAAACCCGTCGATCGCAATCGCCCGCGCGAGGATGCTGCCGGTGGTGCCGTGCTTCTTGCCCCGGAGGCAGATCTCGGCCTGGAGCGACTTGGCCGCGTGTGCAAATGTGCGGAAGACCTTGCGAATGTCAAACGAGTTGGCGGCCACGTCGTGGCTCGGGTCGTGCGGGTTCTCGACGCAGAGCAAGAACGGCCGGCCGGCGTCGCGCCAGTCGCGCTCTTCCTTCATAAAGTACGACCCGCCGTTGCGGACGCTGAGCCCAACGTTGGACGGGTTGAGCGACGAGCCGTAGAGCTCAAAGAACTCGACAAGGAGCACGCCGAGGTTGAGGTGGTCCGCGCTCTTTGTGTGGTTGCGCGCATACTGCTGGAGAAAGCTCACGACGAGGAGCTGGAGCAGGAACGAGCCAATGCCACCCTTGAACGTCTCGTTGAGGCCGCGCTGCAGAAGAAAGTACTTGAGCACAATCACGAGCGGCCGGAACGACGGGTACTTGCGCATGTACATCATGACGAGGTCGGCGGTTGAAAGCCCTGACGTCGTCGTGAACGAGAAATCCATGTGCACGTTCGTCTTGGCGTGGACGATCTTGACGATCGGGATGCGCGCCGAGTCGATGACCTCGATGAAGCTCACGACGCCAAGGTCCTCGAGGCGCTGCGCGAGCGTCCACAACGCTTGCTTGCCCTTCGGTGCATCGTGCACGATCAAGTCGATATCGCTCGTGGGAAGGTACATCTCGGTCACGTGCGACCCAAAGGCTTCGATGGTCGCGCCGTCCCAGAGGTCGGCGATGACGGTTCGAATGTCTTCGATGGCCTCCTTGCGCAGTGCAATTTCGTCTTGGGTCGGGCTTAAGAACGCGACAAAGTCGAGGATCTCTTCGTGGAGCTGCAGAAAGATGTTCTTGTTGGTGTACTTGGTGCGCCCGCGCATCCACGGCGCCTGGGTCACAGTCTCGTTCGCCGTTGCCGCCGACGCCTTGACCGGCGAGTCGCGGAGCGAGATGTACGTGCTATCGTCAAGGGCCTCGTCTTCCTCGCTCTCCATGTCAGAGGCTTCGTGCACGGTCAATGGCTCGGGCGTCGCCGCGACCTTGTGGAAGCGCTTCGCCGGCTTGGGCTGGCGGCGCAGCTTGTCGAGCTTCTCCTTCTTCTTGGCCTTCTCGACGAAGTGCTGCTTCTTGGCCTTGACCACCTCCGCGGCCGCGGCCGCCTTCTTCCGCCCCATGCTGCCTGCCAACGAATCGAGCTATTCTTATACACAGCACGAGTATCCGTAATTTGTCTCTTTTATCCGGATTTCGTGGCAGAGCCGCGGGCTTTCATCGGTGGGTCGAACGGAGCGAGCCCGACGCCGACCGCGGTAGCAGTGCAAATGGCCGATTGGACTAGTCATTACGAATTCATCCATGGACGACGGTGAAGCGAGTACCTTGTAGACGCCTTTGGTGTTACTGGCCTTGAGCTTCAACGCGGCCTCCACCTCCTGCAGCTGCGCCTCAATGTCGAGCTTCCGCGCCTCCAGCTCGTGGATCGACGCCACTAAACCCATGGACATCAATACAAATCTAGGATCAGGCAGCTGTATCGGCGCATGCCCGTGGAAAGGGAGCTCCGCGAGATCGACGAGGACGTCGTGCGCTTGGACACGGACGAGCTGCTGCTAGCGCTCGAGCGGAGCGACTGCACCGACTTGATCGACGACGCCGACGAGCGTCGCGACGAGGCGATCGAGACGGTCTACGAGGCGATGACCACTGCTTACTAGGCCGGAGTTAATACTGTACATCGTCTTCGGGCGCTGGCTTCAAGTCGCGCGTGCGCTGGGTGTCCTACACAGAGCACGCTGGTCGCACGCTCTACGGTCATCAGCATGTCGTACAACTGCGCCGCGGGCTGGGGTCGTCGGCATGGTGGTCGAAATGGTGGCAAAATGGCCTTTCCCGCTAAAAATAGAAGCGTTTTCCGCGCATGTGATTGGGCGACAATAAAAATGGCATCTATTTTTTAAAAGGGTACCACCCCCTCTCCAAAAGCAGGGAGGGGGGCCCTGAAAGGAGTGGCCGCGGATTGGATCCAGTCAAACAGGAGCGAGCTTGCAAGACGATGCTGCCCGCGTTCAAGAAGTCGGATGGGAAGCCCCGGGTCGTCCAGGTGTTTGAGTGCCCCGTGACCGACGTCCGCCGACCGCGCCACGACGATGGCCGCCCGCGCAAGGCCGGCGCGAACGAGCCGCTGAGCCGCGCCGAAGAGGTCGCCAAGCAGTTCCGCGAGACCTTGGACTCGGTCAAGTCCTTTGGTGCGCTATTTGCATCCATTCATCCATGCTTGATAATCCTGCTGCTGTAGGCGCGACGCATGCAACGGGCAAGGAGCGCAAGAAGCTCGAGATCGAGCGCATCGTGGCGCTCGGCGGGAAGGCGCCCAAGGAGCAGAAGCGGCCGTACAACCAGCTCATGGCGATGCGCAAGGCGGCCAAGAAGCGCGAAGAGAAGCATGAAGAGCTCGTCAAGGCGTCGGGCATCGTCACGGGCAAGAAGAAGACGACCGCCAAGGTGCCCAAGAAGCGCGGCGACGCTGGCACGATGGCGACCCAAGGCCGGTTCAAGAACGGTGTCCTCTTCGTCGCCAAGCACGACCGATAAACCCCTCGACCATGATACTGTACCTACTATAATAGACGCCTTTGGATTCCTATTTATGTACAAATACTAGCTTCCTCGGCTCTCGCCCTCGAGGTAAAAGACCCATGGCGGCAGCTCGGGCAGGCTCGGACACGTGACGAGGAGCTTCCCGGTCACCGGCGCCGCGCGCGCGCTCGTGTCGACGTTCTTGATCGTGACGACCTTGGCCGACTTGGCAGCGATCGTGACCGTCGCCGCGTTCACCGTGAAGCCGGCGCCGTCGATTGCAAAGGCAAACTCGCGCGGCGCGTTAAAGACGTTCTTGAACTCAATGTCTTGGGTCGTCGAAAACACAAACGGGCCCTGGGGCACGGGCGGGACCGACTGCCCGAGCAGCGTGCACTTGTACTCGCCACCCGCGTCCGACGCCACCATCAGCGTGTCGCGAATGTCGCCGAGCGCCTCGGGCTCGAACTTGACGACGACCGTCTGCTCACTGCCGTCCCAATTCGTCGCGTCCGTCTTGAGCTGTGGCGCGACGTTGAAGAACGTGGGTTGCTGCACGCTGCACTTGAAGTCCATGGGCTTGGACCCATACGTTGTGAAGCGGAACGCCTGCGTCTGGCTCGCTCCCAGGGGCACCGTAAAGTGCAAGATCTTTTCAATGCCCGCCGGGGACGTGGCCAGCGACAGCTTGTACGGGTACTCGCCGAGCTGCGGGCTTCGCAGCGTGAGCGTTGCCTCGATCGCCTCGGACGTGTGCAGTAGCGGCCGATACTCGACCTCGAACGACCCTTCGGACCGGCCCGTCATTTCGCCGACGCGCCGGACGCGGACGCTCGGTGACGAGCAGCTCCAGAAGCTCTTGTCGTCGAACGTGATCGTGCGGGATGGCGGGAACGGGTTCTCGATCGTAATGAGCTTCTTGATGCTCTGGCGCACGGGCGCGTGGAACGAGAGCGTCTCGACGATACCCGGGGGCGTGACGTCGACGCGCAGGTCGAAGTACACATACTCGCCGCTCTCCTTGTTGGTGAACGTGACCTTGAGCTCGTTCATGCCTTCGAGGTACGCGAAGGCCTTGAGTCCATACTCGCGCGTCGCATTCGGTGGCACCGTGATCGTGTCGGCGCCCTGGACGAACGTCGACGCGCACTGCGTCACGTTGTCAATCGTGACGTAAAACGCTTGGGCTCTCTTTTTGAGCCAATTGACCAAGGGCAATTTGATCGCCAGCGACGCTTTGGCCGGCGTCTTGAAGCTGAGCGTGTCGAGTGCGTCCGGCTCGGTTGCAGTACCCACCAAGGTGTACGAGAGCGCGCTCCCGTCTGGAATCGCGAGGAAGAGCGAGCCCTTGTGCGTCTTGGGGCGGTCGTTCGATGCCTCGCCAAATTGCGTCATGCTCAACGGCATGTAGTAGAGCTGGACGGCGGCTTTGCCGTTGGCGGGCACCGCCACGTTCTCGGCGCAACGCCAGTGCTCGCCCTGCACGATTGGAATCAAGTTCCACGGGCTGGCCGTCTTGTTTTCAATCGAGATTTCCTTTGCGACTTCCCGCCGGACGCGGGACTCAAACACGAGCTCTTTGATCGACGTCTCGAGCTGGCCAACGCACGACCCTGTCAGCGTCATGGTGAGGAAATCGCCGCCGTCAATCGCACACAAAATCTTCTCGAGCCGAATATCGTCGTTGATCTTGAGCGGCCGGAACGTAATCTCAAACGACTTGTCTTGATTCGGTAGCACGACACCTTCGCTCGGCGCTATGCTAAAGTCGGGCCCGAGCCGCTTGAGGTCCCACTGAAACTTGGCCACGAGGTCGCCTCGGTTCTGCAGCAGGAGCCGCCGCACGAGCTGCGACCCGAGCACGACAGGTCCAAAGCTGAGGTTCTCCGTCTCAAACTGCACGTCCATGCCCTGGCACGCCCCCGTCAGCGTCACGAGTTTCTTCTTTGTCCCGCACACGTCCACAAAGAGCTCTTCTTCGAACGGCGTGACGCGCCGCGGCGGTGCAAAGCGCAGTTCGACATCGAGCGACTCGCGCGGCTTGATCCAAATGCCGGTTTGCGGAAAGATGCTCAGGCCAATGTCGTGCATGTGGCTCGCAAGAAGGGCGAGCGGCGTCTTGCGCTTGGCGCGGTTCACGAGCTTGAGCATGCGGCTCACGCTCTGTCCGATCTGCAGCGTCCCGAAATGCACCACCGACGCCGCCATCGCGAGCTCAATTTTCGGGAAAATGCCTTCGCCACGCAAGACGACGTTGATGGTCGTGTTGCCGTTGATCGTAAATGGCACCACCTCTTCGTACGGGCCTTCGTGTCGCGCGGTAAACGCCATCGGGACGTCGAGCGTCTCGTGGGGGCCGAGCACGGTGGGCTGGACGGCGACGTGCAGGAACGGCCGCTTCTCATAGCTGCAGTCGACGCTAATGTCCATTTCGTGGTCCATATTCGTGATGCGCAAGGTCATGGTCTCGACCATTGGCGCCGCGTCCGGCTCGGCGATGAAGCACGGACCAAAGTCGTGCGCGGTGAACGAAAAGTCGACTGCGGGCGGCACCGCGTTGCCGTGGATCGGGAACGCATACTCGCGCGAGCCGGCGGTCGTGCAAATAATGCGCTGGCCGTCGAGCGACGTCTCCTTCGAGGGCGCAAACGTGAGGTGGCAGACCACCTTGTCGTTCTTCCGGACCGTCCCGTTGCTCGGCTCGAGCGTCAGCATCGGATGTTTGGCCGACGACCACGCAAACGTAAACTCAAAGTTGAACTTGCCGGCGTTCGAGAGCACGATGCTGCGCCGGGCTTTTTCATGCACGCGGACCGTGCCAAAGTCGATGGACGTCGACGACGACGGCTCGATCGCGTCGAGGAGCAGGCCGGCGGCCGTGTCGTCGTGGACGACCACGTGGTCGTGGATCGCGTACCCTTCGCCCTTGACGTTGAGCGAGAGCCGCGACGGCTTGCGCTTGATGGTGCAGCCAAGGTTGAAGTTGTAGAGCTTTTCTTCCGTAGGCGCAAACTCGACGTCGATCGCGGTCCGGCCGTGGGGCGGCACGACACCCGAGAGCGGCGTGAGAACGAGCACGGGCTTTTCGCCGCCAAAGTGCACTTTCTCAAAGGCAAAGTTGAAGGGCAAATGCTCTTGGTTGGTCAAGTAGATGGTTTGCGACGCTTTGGACCCAACGAGGAGCGTGGCAAAGTTGACGCTGCCGCGGTCAAAGAGCACACGTGGCTCGGTCGTCGTCCCCACGAAGAGGAAGAGTTGGTCGACGCCAAACTGGTCGATCTTGAGGCGCCAAAACATCTCTTGGAGCTCCATTTGGGTTGGCGTAAACTCAAAGACCATCTCGCAGCGCTTCCCCGAGAGCATGAGCCCTTTCGGCGTCGCACAGCGAAACGCCGGGTTCACATGCGGTCCGTCCGGCACCCACGCAAACTCATACGAGACGTTGGTCGGGTTGATGACGTAGAAGCGGCGCGTGTTGCGGACGCGAATGCCGAGCGACTCCATTTCGACGACGCGGACACTTGGGTCCAAGGGCCCGAGCTCGCCGCCGGGCCCTATCATCGCCAGCGACCGCCGCTGCGCATAGTCGCTTGGCTCGACGTCGACGTGGCACACGGGCCGAAGCGACGCGCCAGACACGCGAATGCGAATGCCGTCGCCGTTCTTGAGGTGCCCCTCGAGCCGGTAGACGTACTGGGCGACTTCAATGGGCGCGAAGCGCACTAAAAAGTCCTGCGTGTCGTCGGCACATATTTCGCCGGCGTCGGGCTCGATGCTAAACGGACACGGCGTATCCATCGACGCCGACGTGACGTCGGGCAGCTCGAGAAACTCTTGGCTCCACGTCCACGTGATCGGCAGGCGCACTTTGCTGTCGTTTTTAACGCGAAACTTGGTCGTGCACGCTTGAAACATAAAGGTCTTCTTGAACGCGATCTCGGTCGTCTCGCAGCTGTAGCGCAAGGTGTCGGCCACCGCACACACGAGCGCCGTGAGCGGCGGAAGCGGCGGGTCCAGCACCTCAAAAGCGGGCTCGATGACGTTCGAGGACGTGGCATCGGCCTCGACAAACGACAGCGTCGACATGGTGTCGTCCCACGGCGCCTCGACCGCCGGTTTGATGCGACGCAGCGTGATCGGGATCTTTTCATGGTCGAGGACCGTCGCGCCGCCCGCCGGCGGTGCAAATGTCGCGAGGATGCTCGCGTGGGCCCCGGGGTACAGATGGCCGGTCGCCGGCACGAACCGGAGCAGCGGGTGCGCGCCAAATCCAAAGCGCACGACGTGCGTCGACGACTGGTTGCGGAGGCCAAAGCGCACCGTCGATGTCGTCGCACACTTGAAGTCGACGTCGTTGAAGACGACACGGTCATCGTCGAGGAGCCCGTCCAAGGTCACGAGCTCCTTGTAGCCTTGGCCGCTGAGCTTGACGATCGTGTCTTCGAATGGATTGTACTGCACGCTGAGCTTGAGCTGCACGCTGCACATGTCGTCATGGGCTTTCATGGGCTTGAAGAGCACGGACACGGTGTGCGTCTTCTTGGGCGGCAACACGAGACCGGTCGTCGTCGCCGCGGCCTCGAGCAAGGTGAAATTGGTGCTCGAGGGCATCGAAAAGAGCACCGTCGACGGCACGAGGCCGTCGTTGCGAAGGACGAGCGGCAGCTCCCGGCCTTTCCCGACCCGCTGCTTGCCAAACGCAAGGCTCAGCACGTTGCCGTCGCGCGTTGTCGGCTTCTCAATCGTGATGCACGGCATCGTGCCTTCGCCCCGCATGTCAAACTGCAGGACGTTCGAACTCGGGTCGGCGCCGTCGTCGACGACCGCGGCAAAGAGCGCGTGGTACGTCGTGATGCTCGTGGGCTTAAAGTGGACGTTCACGTACCGGTGTTCGTGCGGAGGAATGTCCCACACGGTCGGTTGCACCGTAAACATGCCGACGCCCGACTCATCTTTCGACTCGGTGGGCGCCTTGATGCTAAACCGAACGGTTGCGAGCACCTTGGTCGGATTCGAAATCTTGAACCGCTCGACAATGTTCTTGCCGACCAAGACAGCACTAAAGTCAAAATCCGCTCGGTCTCGGCAAACATGGGCTGGTTGCGCTCCAAGCAGTGCGTGTGCCCCGAGCCAAAAGTCTGGACAACAGCCTGCTCTTCAAAGATGCTCTCCATGTCGCTCGTGTTGATGCCCGGGTAGCAGCTCTCCCCCGTCATCTCGTACTGCAGCATCGCCGTCTCGTTCTCATTGTACGGGTCCCGCCCCGACACATCCAGTCGGACGTTTTCGCGAAAGAGAGCTGCGCCATGGGGCTGAAAGCCCACATCGATCGCGACGATGCGCCCGGGGTCCAAGCTGCCGCCGGCCGGCACAATTGAAAACTGACCGAGCACTAACGGCTTGGTCTCGTCGCCACTGCTCGTTGCGTCGTCGTCCGTTGTTTTGAAGCGAAACTTGAAGGCGAACTCACCGTCGTTGCGGAGCTCGAGGCGCTTGGCCTTCTTCTCTTCGTTGAAGCGCAACGAGCCAAAGCTGAGGCCGCGCGCGGGTTGGAGTCGAAACTTGGAGTACACTGCGCGCGCGTGCAGCAAGATCGGAAACTCGTTGAATACTTCACCGGTCGTTTGCTCCAAGATGACGCACTTGATGTCCTTGCAGTCACGGAGCACGACCTCGCCCGACGCGCTCGACAGAAACGTCACGTCAATTTTCTGGCTCTTGCCGGGCGCAATCGTCGCGTCGATCGGGTCGATCTTGAACCAATCCTTGTTGCGCTTGACCGAGAGCATCACTCGGATATCGTACTTGCCGCGGTTTCGAAGCGAAAAAGACTTTGTCGGCAAATCGCTCACGCGGAGGAGTCCGAAATCCAAGACACCGTTGAGGCTCTCCGTCGCTTGGTCGGGCGACTCTTCGTCAAACGAGCACACGTCAATCTTGTACGCTTCGGCGGTGACCTTGATGCTATCGCGGCGCAGCTGCGGGTTGCTTGCGACAAGCCCGCCCTCGACGTCGGCGTATTCGATAGGAAGCGTTAGGTCAAAGAGGCCTTCGGTCGCCGCGCTAAAGTGAACAACGATGGTTTGCGATTGGCCCGGCTTGAGCACGCCGTCGCGGGGCACGACTTCAAACTCGGCTGGCACATCGAGCACGAGGCGCCACGTGATCGGAAGCTCGCACGCGTTGCGAAGACTCCACGTCTTGTCTTCCTGGCGATTGAGCAAGAGCCGCTCGAAATCGATGAGCTTGGCGTCGTCGGTCCATGGCCCCGAGAGCGCGATCAAGGGCGAGCACCCGATGCAAGCGATCGGAAACGTCACCGGCTCTGGGTTGTCGGCGATGCAGCACACGAGCGTGTCTTCTACGAGCCCTTTCTTGGCCGGGAAGGCCCACACGAGAACTTCGGCCGTGTCGCCTTCCGCGATCTCGATCGCATTGGGCTCGACGAGGAAGGTCGCGTTATTGTCCGACGCCGCGTCGCTGGTGGTGTCGCCGTCCGGCGGCGGCTGCTTCTCAAAAAAGAAATGCAAGTGGGCGCGGAACCGACTCGGGTTGGAGATGCGAAACACCTCGGCGTTCGTCTTGCGCGTCGCCTTGTAGACGTCCGAGGGCATGGGTTCGAGTCGGAGATCCTTGGCTTTTCCAAGCAGAAGCGGTCCAAATTCGTAGACACCGCTCGACAGGACAAATTTCTTGTGGACGAGGGCGCCGTCCGCCTTGTGCTTGGCGCGGCTCATAAAGACGTTGCGCGGGTCCGCGTTGATACACGGCACGGCGCACACGCCGCGGCAGAAGAGACTCACCTCGCGCTTGCTTCCGAGGATCTCAAACCCGAGCGTGCTATCAAACGTACCGACATCGGCCGACGCGAAGAGGACGCGGAACGACGTCTCGGCGTGCGGCGGCAGAATCCAACGACTCACACTCGGCGGCGCGAGGCTGAAGCGCGGCACGGGCTTGCGCTGGCTTCGAAAGTACGGCCGCTTCACGAGCTGGTACGTCATCGGCGCCGGCATCACGAGCTTGCTCGACGCGAGCTCGCGCAGGTACTTTTCGATTGACGCAAACACGAGACCGTGCAAGAGCAGTGGCGGCCCCACTTCGTTGAGGTTGACGTCATGGAGCGCGAGGACCCGCCGCGGCTTTCGCAGGACCACGTGGTCGGGCGCCTCGGCGACGTCGTCGGCGACCTGCTCGGGGTAGTCGGCCGCCATCGACGGCATGTCCGCTTCGTCGTCTTGGATATCGGTCGATGTGGACGGGTGTTCGTCGATGGAGCTACGATCGCTCGACGCCCCGTCGGGTGAGTCGCTGCTGGGAGCTGGCGCCTCGGGCACGGCGACCGGCGCCTCCGGCAAGTGTAAAAGCAGCGCCTCCCACTCTTTTTTCTGTGCGACCAGTTCTTGGCAGTACTTGTCGTAGAGCTCCAAGTCGAGGTACGCGTGCAGGCGCTCCGAGAGGAGACGGTACGTGTGCAGCTCTTGCTCGGCTTGCACCGGGTCGATGGCTGCCTCGGGCGTCGGCGGTGGCAGCTCGGCGACAACGACCGGTGGCTCGACCACGACGGTGTCGGAGCTGGAGCTCGTTTTCAAGCGTGTGCGGCTCGCCGGTCGCATTTCTTCCTTCTCTTCGGGCATCTCGATCGGCTCGGGTGCGTCGACAGGCGGCTCTTCGGGCACCATTTGCATCATATCAAGCGAACGCTCGAGCATGTCCATCTCCTCGTCGACGTGTTTGATGCACGCGAGGATGTGGGCTTCGTAAATGTCTTCGTTCATACCGAGTAGGATGATGGTCGCGCCGCCGAGAACGTTGGCGACAACGTGGAGAAGCGACGGACCGTACGCACCATACTGCGTGGACCAGCCATCCAGAACACTTCCGTTGGCAAAATCGGGCTGCGCGAGACGCCACTGCAGCACCCACTCGAGCAGATCGAGCCCCATTTCTTCGCGCGGCGACGGCTCGGGCGCCGGTGGCATGGGCGGCGGCTCGTCCTTGACCTCCTCGACCTCGGCTTTGTTCTTCTTGCCGTCCTTCTTGCCCTTCTTGTCGTGCGCCGCCTCGGGCTCGTCGGGCGTCGTCGGTTTGATCAAATCCCATGCCAGAGGAGGTAAATCCAACGCTTTGCGCACACGCTTCCCAATGTCCGACTCGTCTTTTGCACAGAGCGCGACGGCGTCGTCAAATGTCCAGACGACCAAGTGCTCCTTCTCGCCCATGAGCTTGGCCTGCGTGGTCTTGCCACAGAGCGGTGGCCCGAGGAAGATGTAGTCGACGGCTTTGTCCTTGGCGCGGAGCGACCGCGTGTCCTCTTCATCGATCTCTGCCTCGGCGCTCGTCACGGCTTCCACGGGCTGAGGCGCTTCGTGGTGGCGCTCGTTGAACTCGACCAAAATATGCTCTGGCAAGCCCGTGCCCGGCAGTCGCAGTGGAAGGCGGAGGTAGTCGTCGTCGCCGTACCCTGACGCGTCCCGTAGTATGTCTTCTTCGGTCTTGAACTGCGTATCAAAGTCGAGCGAGTAGACTTCAACCGCGTGGTCTGACTCGTTGCGCATGGTCACGATGCGCTCGATCGGCGGCGAACACGGCAGGACGGGTCCGAGCTCGGCCATGGGCGGGTCGAACGAGACCCGAAGCTCCGAGCCTTCGCCTTGGCACGTGATCGAGCGCGTCTTGGGATTCGAAGAGATCTTGACTGGCACCTTGACATGGTACAGCCGTCCTTCGAGCGGCATAAACTCGACCTTGATGTTGCATCGTGTGCCAGGATGCAGGAGCCCACCGGTCGGCTCCATACGAAAGTACCCGACATCGCGGGCCGACCCCATGGGTTTCTTGAGCGCCCACTCGACGACCACCGGCGAGTTGTTGAAGAACTGCGAGTGGACGACATGGGACCGCCCGACAACGACCTTGCCAAAGTCGAGGTTGTCGGCCAAGAGAACAAGGTCCGGCACCGTCACGTTGGCCTTGAACGTCACCAAGCTCGGCGGGCCATTCTTGACATCCAGGAGCAAGTTGACGCCGTGGGGCCCATGCCGGCCGTTCTTGCGCGCGGTAAACGTCACGTTGAATTCGACGCCCTTCTTTTCCGGTAAGCGCACCACCCGCTCCGGGTCGATCGCAAACCCGCGGCTGAGCGCAAGGTTCTTGTCCACTTGGAACGAGGCGGGCACATGGCCCGTGTTGGTCACGACAAACTTCTTGACGCGATGCGTGCCAGTGACAACGTTGCCAAAGTCGAGTATATACTGCGCGAGTAGAAAGCCTTGGAGCGCCTTGGTCGGGGACTCGCTCCCGTCGCCGTCGCCGTCGTTGAGCGGCAGCGTCTTGGTAAACGACTTGACTTTGGTGCGGTCCGTGGGCCCGGATGGATGGATGCTCAGCTTGGGCACTGTCACTTGCTCGATCGATGCCGGATTGTTGCCGTTGTTGCTGCTGCCGAGACGGATGAGAGTCCCACCCGTGCTGCCGTGGTGGCTCGTCGCGCTGTTGTTGTTGTTGTTCATTTCGTCCCGAGGCGAGTCGGTCGGCGCCTCTTCGTGGATCGTCGTCAAGAGGTACTTGACAAAGAGCATGCGACATGCTTCCGTGTCCACGTCCACCGAGTCGTAGTGCTGGCCGCGCGTGAGCACATCCAACGAGTCGCCCGACGCCGAGTGCTTGATGGGCGATTTCTGGCTCCGTGCGGTCGCGTTGGTGATTGGCGCCACGTTGTTGCGCGTCGTCATCCGCGCCGTCGTCCGTGACGTTCGCTCGGTCGAGACGGCCGTCATGGGGATCCCGTCCTTGTTGAGCTTGGGCTGCGCGACTGGTGCGCGCGAATTGGGCCGCGCCAAGCCGAGCGTTGCGGCCTCGCACGTCACGGCGGTCGTTGGTGGCAGCGACGAGGTGCGCGGGTGCTCCATGTTGTATTTGGCGCCTTTGAGCACGTCGCGCCACTTTGGCTGCACGTTTTCGATCGCGCAGTTGGGGTGCGTCTTGCCGCGCGGCAGGTTGACACTCAGGGATGCAAAGATGCCGCGGCAGTAGAGCTTAAACTCGACGGGCGGGAAGTGTGCAATCTCGAGCCAAATGCTCTCGACGAGCGTGTCCGGAATGCCGGGCTTGAACCGGACTGAGATGCGCTGCTTGTCGTTGGCAAAGATGCGTCCGGACACAGGCGACACGTCGATGACGCCGGCCCGCGACAGTTTCTCGAGCGACACGTTAAAGGCAAACGCGACCTTGCCGAGGTTGTGGATCGCAAACTCGCGGTCTTCGGTCTTGTTGTAGATGACGGGGCCGAAATCCAAGTACGGCCGATCGAGGCGGTATGTCACCGACGACGCTTCGCCGGCCAGCGTGAGCTCGTACTCGGGGCCGCCGTTGACTTCGCACGCGACGAGGCTCTTGAACTTACGGTTCGCGTGGCCATAAAAGATAAATTCGACAACCTCGACTTCGCCCGGCTGCAAGTTGCCGCGGATGGGCAGAATGTCAAATACTTGGTTCACGGGAATGTACGGCCGCTTGACCGTCGCGGCCGCCCGCGCTTCCTTCTCGTCTTCGATAAAGACCCAGTGGAACGACGTCGGGACTTTGGAGACGTTGGTGACTTTGACGTGCATGGACTTTTGCGTGTCGTTCAAAATGCACCCGAAGTCGATGCGCGAGTACTCAAACTCTAAATTCGGAAATCCGATTTCACCGCGTAGATCCAAGCTGTCGCGCTGCGGGTGCCCCGTGTAGCTGAGCACGAGCTTGCCGTTGATGATGCGGCTCAAATGGTCATCCTTGTACCCCGGGTAAAACTCGACGTTGAGGTCGAGCGCTTCGTTCGGTTCCAAGAGCGCTTCCCACGTGTCGACGGCAAACGGCACTTGGGTCCGCAGCACAAACGAAAGCGGGAGCTCGCACACGTTGCGCAGCTTGAGCGCTTGCGACTGTGTCTCCATCGAGACGCCGTCGGCGTAAATGTAGGCAAAGTCCAGCCCCATCGGCAACGACGCTTCGATCTTGGGGTTGATAAATTGCGCCACAATTTCGGTCGCGAACGCCACCTTGGCATTCTTCTCTTGGCCGATGCGCGTCTCACAAATGAGCTCTTCGCGCATGACTCCGGGCGACGCCGAGAAGCCTCGAAAGTAGAATGTGCACGCGGTGCGCGGCTTGAGCTCAATCGACGCTGGAAACACCGAGAAGATCGGCGTCACGTCGTCGCCGACGTCGATCGACTTGGTGCTGGCCTTGCTCGACGTCTTTTGAAGTGTCTTGGCTTTCTGGAGCAGCTCGAGTTGCTGCTGCCGGATCGTTTTGTTGACCCACACGAGCATTTGGCCGCGCTTGCCTTTGTTTCTAGCGTACAGCTCCACTCGCACTGCTTGTTGGTCATCTGAAACTGAAAGTCAATGAGCTTCATGTCGCTTTGGGACCACATGGTCGTGCCCGTGCCCTTGGCCGAGAGCGGGATCACGATATTGTGGCCTTCCGTCACGAGAATGTGCAGCTGCTCCTTGAAGACGATCGTGTCGTCGAGGTTGGCGACGATGTTCATCACGATCGTCTCGCCAGGCGATAGCGTATATTCCTTTTGGTCGACGGTAAATTTCGACCGCGCGTTGCGTATAAAGGTCTTGAACGGCGCCGGAATCAAGCTCGTATTGGTCAAACGAAGGCTCTTGGGGTGGTCTACGAGGCACGAGACAGGTCCCCACGCGAGCGCTTCCGCGTCCAACTCTACACTCGGCCCTCGGCCCATGGCCACGATGGTCACCGAGAGAGGCAAATCAATCGAGCCCGCAATGCGCACGTACAGCGGCAGGCGGATGCTGCCGAGCTTTTCGCAGACCAAGGCGATATCTATCGCGAGCGTCGAGTTGGCGTCAATATCGCCACTGGGCTTGTCGCCCGAGAAGACAGCGACCACTTTCGAGTGGTCGTCTTGGGCTACGATTTCATACTTGGCGGGCAGGTGCATGTTGGTGTTGATCAAATGAAGTGTCTGCACGTGCGGATACCGGAGGTAGCAGTCGCCGTACACCAAGTCGGGTTTGAGAACGTGGACTTCAGGTACAAAGCACTGCGCGAGGACGGGAATGTTGAGGAGGTCCGAGCCGACGCCTTGGACGCTCACGACCAAAAAGTACTCGTAGCGCTTGACGTTGACGCTTGTAAACGCGATATGGATCGCTTGCGTCCCAAAGGGCGCCAAGGTGCCTTGGGACGGCGAAAGCACAAACTCTTGGTGCTTGTAGAGGCCGTCTTGCGGGATGCGGAGGCTATACGTCATCGCGATCCGCGATGTATTGATGAGGTGCACGACTTTCGACTGCTCGAACGCATACGAGACGATGCCAAAGTCGATCGTCTCGACGTCAAAGTGAAACATGGGCGGGATCACATGCGCCTTGAAGCGCACGCGGAGGAGGTCGTCCGAGCCCTTGAGTTTAAAGTTGAACGTGATGCTAATCTCGCCGAGGACGGCCGACGCAAACGTCAAGTACACTTTGGAGGTTTCGCCAATGCCCAGGACGCCGCTCGATGGCGCAAAGGCAATGTCGACGCCAGGCGGCAACGGAATCGGCACTAACGCAAACTCGGCGGGGATCTCGCCGCGATTTTGAATCGAAAAATCGTGGGTCTGCGGATCGTTGATGAAGACGTCGCCAAAGTCAAAGAGGTCGTCGTAGAGAATGCACGCTTGCGGGCCGATGCCGCGGCCCCGGATCTGCAGCGGCAAGCGCGTGTCGCGACCAGAGATGTCCAGAAACGCCGTGCCCGCATACGTGGCGGCGACGTGCGGCACAAACGTCACGGTGATCTCTGCGTCCGAGTGCGCCCAGATCTTGCCGCTCGCCGGCTCGAGCGAGAAACACTCGTCCACGAAATTCATGGGATCGTCGAGCACGGCCTTGCGCAGATTCTTGTACTTGCGGTGGAGAATGCCCATGAGATCGACGCGTTCGTCGTCACTGCAGTCGCCGAGATGCTCGACTTCGGACGCTTCCATGCGCTTGAGTTCGTCCAAGAGCCGTGCGCGCTCGGTCTCTTCGCTCTTCTCGCCCGCGTAGGCTTTCCAGGAAAACTCGACCGGGTGGTCGCTGCCGTTGCAGATTTTGATGCGCTTGCGCGAGCTCAGCGTGAGATACGCCGGCGTCGGCTCGACCATCGGGTGGCTCAAATATACTTCGAGATTGGTCACGTCGCCAACGAGTTTGACGTACGAGGCGCGGCCGCTGTCGTCCTGGATTGCGAGCTCGCCTTCGCGCTCTTTCGTGTGCTTGGGATGAAACTCCATTTCGACTTGGATGGCCGCCCCAATGTCCAAGTAGACCGTCTGGGGCGAGACGGTGAACGGCGCCGAGGCCGTCAAGACAAACTTGGCGCCACGTGTGCCGACGTTGTGGACGGTCATGACTTTGGAGCACTTGATTTTGACGGGGCACAGACCAAAGTCGACTTCGTCCGGAAAGCTCAGGGCGGCAAACGTGCCCCGGGCACGGACGGGCACGACGAATTTTTCGCGCTCGGTGACACAAATGAGGTCGAGCGCATACTCGCGCCGCTCCTGGGGCAGGAACTCGACCGTGTACGCCACTTCGATACCTGCTGCGACCTTGCCGTCGCGCTCGGCGCCATGCAGCTTTTTGATTTTGAAAAATGGCGAGTCGGGCGCCTCGATCTTGATGCGGCGCGCGACCGTGTCGTTGTTGCGCAGAGCGAGCTTGGCGTAGTGCGTATTGAACGGAATGTACTCGTCAAAGAGGATAGCACCCGGGTTCGGCTCAAACAGCGGGCGGTCCACGGGCACGGTCGACGAGCTCTGCGACGAGTGGTCTTCGAGGTTCATAAACTATCAGCGAATGCGATGATCACTTGTCTCAGATCGATGCCAAGCAGTGCGATATACCTCGATGATGCGCGGGATCGAGCCCTTGGAGCCCTTGGCGTTCTTGGACGTGAGCTCGTGCAGGAGCTGGCTCGGGCGCTACGAGGCCCAAGTCGTTAGCGCAGCCAGCCACGCATGGTCTACCAGCTTCTCGGTCGCATCGGTCGTGGGCCGGCCCCACATGGGCAGCTGCGAGAGCGCCACGGACGATCCGCGGTGGTCGGCGGCCATCGAGTTGCCACGCACGACGCTTCGCGAGGAACGAACTGTCGCTTCGGTATCTTTGGCGGTACCAATGTGGCACATGCCGCGTTTAAAATAGTAGTTTCGGCACGCGGTGCCACATTTCGACACAAGTTGAAGTAAGCCGCATCCGCCAATCACGCGCCGCCAGCGTGAACCACAGCTGCGACACCACGGCGCTGGCGTCGGCGGAGGAGCGTGGACCAGGACCCGAGCGGTGGGCCTCGCCGTAGCATAGGACCTACGAAGATGCGTTCGATCAACCTCGGTTCAACCGCGGGTCGTTGGCCTTGGGACGTACTACCGTAAGAGCAAGCGTAGCCGGTTGGCAGCCGTATCCGGTTAACACGAGATTAACCGAATGGCGAAGATCGTGGGTGCAAGGAATCTACCTTCGCATCCTCATCTCGCCTTTGCTGTCGCCAGTAGCAGTCGCACGCATGGCCTCGACGCGCGGGCAGAAGGCCGCTGTCTTCTTCCTTACCTTCTTCAGCTATGTCATGTTCCACGTCTCGCGCAAGTCCTTCTCGGCCGTGAAGGGCGAGATGAGCAAGGAAGAGTGGATGGACTCGATCTTCTACGTCAAGTCGGAGCAAGGCAAGATGTATGGCCTCATGGACACGCTCTTCATGGGCTTCTACGCAGTGGGCCTCTACGTCAGGTACGCTTCTGCACTGCTTCTTGGGCATGCGACGTATATGTGTATAGTGGCATCCTCGGCGATCGCTACGACCTGCGCAAGCTCCTCGCCGGTGGCATGGGCCTCACCGCGCTCATCATGGTGCTCTTTGGCGTCGCCGCCTTTGCCAACGTCCACTCGCTCGGCTTTTACGCGTTTCTGTGGGCGCTCAACGGGCTCATCCAGTCCATCGGGTGGCCGTCCAACGTCGCCGTCATGTACGCCTCGTACCATCGCTCGTCCCGCGGCCGCTCATTGCCAATCTAGGGGCAACTGGTTTAGCGCACGCGAGCGTGGCGGTACGCAAAGGACTCGTCATCTCCGCCCTTCATGCGTCTCTTCTCTTAGCGGTCATGGGTATCTGGAGCGGCAACGCGTGCTTTGGCAACATCGTCGGGACCGCCGTCGTTGCACTACTCTTCAACCTCATTCCCAACAAGACCGACGCGTGGCGAACGTCCATGATTGCCTCGGGCGTTCTCGTCGGGCTGCACACGCTGCTCATTTGGCTTTTTCTGCAGCCGTCGCCAGGCTCCAAGCGGCTCTCGTCCGACGACGTTGAGGACGGCCAACAGCTTCTTCTCAAGGACGAGTCGACGCCCAAGGGCATTTCGTTTTGGCGCGCATGGCGTATCCCTGGGGTAGTGGTCCCTGTGGCGTACTACCATCTCTAGGATCCTATGTAGGTAATCCCTTATGCGCTTTCGTATGCGTGCGTCAAGTCGGTCAACTACGCGCTCTTCTTTTGGCTCCCTTTTTACCTCACGGTCTCGCTCAAGATGGAAGACTCGACGGCCGACTACTTTTCGGTGGGCGCGCGACTCCGATCAATATATAGATGGATGACCCGTCGTCGTCGCATTCGTAGATGCTCTACGACGCCGGTCAGATCCTCGGCGGGTTCCTCGGCGGCTACATCACGGATCGCATGGGCATGCGCACGCCGACGATCGTCGCGATGCTGGCCTCGGTCACGTACGTCGACTCTCTTTTCTTATCGGTCCTCCGTCGCATGCTTATCGCGTCTAGGTGCCTCCTGCCGTCGTTCCACGCAGCGTCCAAGGATGGCATTGGCATCCTTCTCTTTGTCTCGGGCTTTCTCCTCGGCGGGCCGGCCAATTTGATCAGCACGGCGATCTCTGCCGACCTCGGCACGTGCCCGACGCTCCGCGGCAACACGGCGGCGCTCGCGACCGTCACGGGTATCATTGACGGGACCGGCAGTGTCGGCGCGGCCATCGTGCAGTACCTCGTGGGGTACCTCGCCAACTGCCACACGACGCCGTCCGGCCAAGAGTGCTCGTGGCAGCCAGTGTTTTCGCTGCTCGAGATTGGCAGCGTGCTCTCGATCGTCTGCCTCGTGCCGCTTTTGTGGAAAGAGCTCCATACATACTACGTCGCCACGTCGTCGCCATAGCGTCTCGATCTATGTGGCAAGCGTCTTGTCTGTCAATCTATCATCAGTCTATCGATCTATCAATCTATCAATCTATCCACATAGCAAAGAAACGCCTCAAGGCGATAGGACAAATGTGTGTGTATATATGTGGCGCAATAAAGATGCTACGCTCGCCCTCGCGTCGTCTGGAATAAATGCAGATGCTCGGCAACAAACGCTTTCTGTGCGTCGTTGAGACCGCGCACGAGCTGCAGATCGTCCGCGCACTCGGGTTGGAGGTCCAAAAGACTCTATACCACCGTACGGGGTCTTTGTGCATCCACGATTCGAGCTAGTACCTGAATCGTCTTGCGCGAGAGGACGTTGGCTTTGCGGTAGCCAGGACGTCGCTGGAGCGTCTGGTGCAGCGTGTGGTAGAGGCGCTCAAGGTCGTACGCGCCTTGCCGCGCGGCGTCACTCGACCGAAATGCGGCGCCGCGTCGACGATCGGTCTCGTGCGCTTCTTGTGGCAGCTCGACCGAGACGCCGCAGTTGCAGTTTTGACAGCACGCTTCGTCCAGTGTGTGACCAAAGTGGGCGTAGAGCACTTGGCGCCGACAGCCGCTTTCCTCGATGAACTCGATGACGTCACGTAGACCGTGCGACGTGCTTGCGTCCACGAACCCGTCGCCGCTCGCAATATAGGCGGCGCGCGAAGCGTCTTTCGGGTCGTAGTAGAGCGTACAGACGGCCGGCGCGCCGTCGCGGCCTACCGTCATATATCTGCGTGAGCACACGATTCTACCGGTCGAGATTGAAAGCGTATTACTACCTGCACGGCCAATCTGCTGCATGTACGACGCCAGCGACAGCGGCAGCGCGTGGTGCACCACGTGCCGAACATCGGACCGATCAATGCCCATCTACCAAGGCTTTCATGCAACGAAGAAGGGGTCGATGACGCCTACCCCGAACGCGACAGTGGCACAGATGATCGAGATCTTCCCGCTCGTCCACTGGTACTGGACGCTCTTCCGTGCGGCGTCCGACATGCCGGCGTGGTACGGCTGTGCCCGCGCGCCGACGGAGACGAGCGACTTGGCGACCGCTTCCGCGTCCTTTTGCGACAGCACGTACACGATGCTTGGCTCGTGGCGCACGCGGCGGAGGATGTCGAGTGCGAGAAGCGGTGCGGGGGATGGCTTGGGCACGACGTGGAGCGTCAAATTCACCCGGTCGGTCAAGTGCTGCAGGAGGACCATCGAGGTCGGCGACGGTGGCGCGTTTAGTGCTGGCAGCGGCGTCGGCGCGACATGGAAGATGCGCGCGGTGGCGTCAATGAGCTCGCTGGATGCGGTGGCCGTGAGAAACGTCAGCGGGATCTGCGGCAGATGCGTTCGGTACAACCGAGCCAAATCCATGTACGCGGGCCGGAACGTGCTGCCCCACTCGACAATGCAGTGGGCTTCGTCAATGACGATGCGCGCGAGACGATCTTCGTGCAGCAGGCGCAATACAAGGGCGTTGGCTCGTGGGTTGGTGAGTAGCATCTCGGGCGTCGTGTACAAGAAGCGCGTCTCGGGCGCGAGCGCCGTCGGCACGTTCTTGGGCGAGAGAAAGCAGGCACGGTCCGAGAGCTGGAGGCGCGCCAATGTGACTTGCTGGTCTTGCAAGAGCGACCGCAACGGCGACACGACGACCGTGACTCGGTTCGCGGCAGGCAGCAGCGCGGGCAGTTGGAAGCAGAGGCTCTTGCCCGCGCCGGTTGGCAGGTGCAGGAACAGACTAAAGCCCCGCTGCGCAAGGTTCACGGCGGCCTGCTGAAGTGGCTTGAAGGTCGCTGCGTCGTTCGCTGCCAGTCCCGGTAGCAGCCGCTGGGCCATCGCCGACCACGGGAACCGCGCCGTATCCCATCGCGCGAGCAACCGCATGCCAAGGCCAATGTGCGACATGGTCCGATGGCAACGAATCTCAAAGACACCGTTTTGAGTCTTTTTTGAGTTTCAACGGTGCCTTTCTACTACACGTGGTATGGCCTTCTTTCCTCAAACTCAATGGCATGAGGTTGCCGAAAAGGCCATGGAATTTCACAGGTTTCATTGGCGATGGATCCGCTCAATTGGGTTGCCGCGCCTCGGACGGGCGTGTCCTGACGCGCGTTTCTGCTAGAGCTATGTCAAGGTGCTTGCGTGCCACCTGCTGCAGATTCCGGCGCCAACAAGCGACGAGATGTTCTACCGCCTCCATGGCCGCATCATCACGCGCGCCCAGCTCGTCGGCGTCGTCGCGAGCATGCAGCACAAGACCGACCGCAGTATGTAACTTCATGCAATCGTCAAGCACCGCTTCATGGACCATAGCCGAGTATCTGCTCGATGACGGAACGGGCGAGGTGTGCTTTGTCGATTGGCAAACCGACGCGCCGCCGTGCCAACTGGGCGACCTCGTGCATGTCTTTGGCCGGCTCAAGCCGTCGTGGGAACGTCGCGTCGAGCTCCACGCGACCAAGGTCGTCGTCGCCGTCGACCCGAACGCGGAAATGCTGCATTGGGCGCAAGCGCAGTTGCTGTACCAGCACGTGTACAACCAGGTGCGACCTCGTCGGGACCGTGCACAATCACCGTCGCCACGTCTTCTTAGCCCGCGCCGTACGTCGAGGCGCCGCTACCAACGCCGCGCGAAACCACTCTCGAAGCGCTCTGTCGGCACGCGTTCCTTGGTCTGCCGTTGCCGGTCGAGGCGCCCGACGTCGACGACGCGCTGCCCGTCGCGATCGTCAAGCATCTCGCCCAAGGTGCTCTTCCATCTCCCAGTTGATGGACACGATATTCTTGATGTAGACAATGCGCCGTCCAGCATTCGGTTCCGGGACGCGGTTGCTGACGTCGTCGTCGTGCCCGACATGGGCGCGTCCACGCGCCTCGGTCGCTTCCGAAAGGCGTTTGCACTTCTGCGCCGCCTCGGCGCGCTGTATCTGCAAGGTAGTAGCACCTCGTCGACCCTTCTCGCGTGACAGCATGCGACGCTAGATGCGGACCAGGATACGTACTGTCTCCTGCGCTTCGAGACCATGGCGTGGCCCATCATAGTCCAACGGCTCGCCCGTCCGTGCCTCGGCAATCCGACGCCGCTCATGTTTTCGACTCCCGGTAGATGATGCTGGGCAGCGCAAATCAGATCTCATTGCGCACGTCGTCGCGTCGCCCACGTGTCGTCAAGTGCCCCTGCACTGGATCGGTGACGGCATCGACGCCGCTCTCGCGGCGCAGCGCCTTGCCGTCGTCGACGAGCACATGCGGATTGCCTTGCGCCACGACGCTTAGGCACGGGCGTGCGTGCATACTCTTGTTGTTTGTATGCGAGCCATACCTAAGGTACAGTACAGACGTGCGGATTGGGTCGGATACCACGCTGCTGCCGTGGCTGACGAGCCTAGGGCGACATAGTGCTCTTGGTGGGATGCTTGTGTCGCGGTTGCCCAGAGTAGCACGTGGATGTCGATGCAGCATCTCCGGACGGGGCTGGTTCCAAGTAGTAAGCGATGACTGCATCCCATGACTGCATGCGTAACAACTCTCGCTCTCTCGCGTGCTGACAAGATACACGTGGAAGGCAGCCACGCCGATCGCTGCCATGGCCTCTGCATGATGCTCGTGTACGTGGTGCATCGACGCGGTCGGGCCACGACGACCCTGCATCACGTCCTGCACACGCGCTCGCGTCCCGTCCCGCGTTGCTCGGGCGCAGAGAGCGTCAGATGACCACGTCGTCGTGGCTCGTGTCGCCAAATCCAGATGGACCCAGACCAGCCCATCTGGGACGCCCACGTGGTGCACCCAAGCGAAAACAGCGCGCTTCGAATCCTCCTTGTTCCAGTTGCTCCTACCACTCTCGCCAGGCAGAGAGCTCTCCGCAGCCTTGCAGGCCGGTTGGTCAAGGACTCAAGGACTCATCCAGCTGGTGGCGCCAGCTGGTGGTCGCCCAAGGTGGACCGTTCCGTCCAGACGGAGGCCAGGGCCAGGTGGCGCTGGGCGCGCAGTTGCAACCGATCTCACTTGTTGTTTGTATGCGGGGCCTCGACTGGCCTTTTGTATGGAATAAAGCGTGCCAGTCGTTTTTGAAAACCCCCAGCCACACCACACAGCCCCGAGTCGATCCGGAGGAAGGGGGACCAGCATGGACGAAGCACGCCAGGAGAAGGAGGGAGGACGACCGTCGCCCATGAAGAAGGAGCCCGAGAAGAAGCCCAAGCAGGACAAGGGCCTGCCGTCTGTTCCGATGCTGCGCCCGCGCCCCGTCGAGGTCCACAACGGCTCCGAGACCGAGAGCGACTCGGAGACGAGCCAGCGCCAGGGTCGTTCTCCGAGTCGGATGGACCGACGCCGGGACGCATCGCCCACCGCCGGACGCCTAGCAATGACAACAAGATGAGCATGCGCGAAGGTGTGCCCAGCGACATTCAGCGCACGGGCGCGATGCTCACCAACTTGCTCGCACGCGGCGAGATGCACAACGACCGACACACGCAAGAGGGCTCGTTGCGACGAGTGCCCGAGCTGCCAAAGCCCCACTTGCGCAAGCCCGACGGCGATGGACCGTTACCGCAGCTCCATGGCGGCGCCGGGGACATGCGCCTCCCCGCACTGACGATGAACAACCTCATGCGGCAAAATCAAGGTGGCCCGCCCGCGCCCGGCCCACCGGCCTTGCCTTCGTCGTCGCACTTGAGCGACATGCACATGCGCGGCCCGCCGCCACCGCTACAGGCGCCTCCCCGAATGGACATGTCTATGAACCGTCCGAGTCCAGGAGGCCCGCCGTCGTGGCCGTCGTCGCGCCCACAGATTGAGAGCGAACCGCCTGCGATGAAGCGGCCGAACTCGCCGCCGCGTGAGCGCAGCATGCCATACCAACAAGCGCCAGGGCCCCAGCTTTCGGTTCAAGCGCCGCGCGACGACTACGACTACCCGACGTACCAGCCCCCGGAAGCATTAGTCGGTCAGCGCATTGCCAAGACGTTTGCCGGACACGGTCGCTTTGTCGGCCAGGTACCAGGCCCATGCTCTTCTACCGCGACGTGTGGGTCTTATGTCGTCTTAGGTGGTCAAATTCAACCCGCAGACCGAGCTCTTTACAGTGGTGTACGCCGATGGCGACACGGAAGAGCTCACGCGCGAGAACACGATGAACCTCTTGATCGAAGACAAGCGCGTCGGAAGCAAGCCGCGGGACCAAGGCCCGCCGCAACCCAACCCGGCCCGCCACCCATGATGCGCAAGCCCGAACACATGCAAGCGCCGGCGCCCTCGGCCGCGCCGCCATCCAACGGCGGCTACAAGCTCGCCATTTCGGATCGAGGTATGCCTTGCATGTGTGTTATCTCTGGACGAACGTGATGTGTAGAGCGGGATATTCTGACGGCCCTCTTTGAAAAGCATGCGTGGCCGTTGCTTGCCGAGCACGGGTGGAAGTCGGAGATGCACGGCGCGTCCTTCTTCTTTTACCCGCCCTGGGCCGGCAAGAGCACGCGCGAACCCGAGTACTTCAACTCGGTGCTGGACGCGATGAAGTACATTTCGATGCACGCCGAACTCATGCGTCTCTGCTTCCCCGTCGAGATCCAAGGCACGATTTTATCGATTTTTGACCAAAACAAGGCGCCGCCGCCGCAAGCGTCTGCGAATGGCAACAAGCGCCACCTCGACAGTGACGGGCCGTCGTCGATCAACAAGCGGCCGAAGCCCGAGTCGCCGCCGGCCCGCGGCGGCCCGCCGCCCATGATGGGTCGCCCGTACTATGAGAGCAGCCACCATCCTGCGCTCCAGGCGCAGCAGCATGCGGTGCACGGGCATCATGCGGCGTACGAGTACCCGCCCGAGCCGAGCCAATCCCGTCCTGGTTTGTCGGCGCCACCGCCGTCGCGGTACCCGGGTCGCATGGAAGACGAACAGATCGAGTACCACATGCGCATGGGGTCGGCGCCACCGCAATCGACAAGCAACCGCGGGTATCCATCGCCATCGCCGTCGGGGACGCCAAGCCTCGCCTCGGTTTGCGATGGGCGCGGGCGGCCCGCCGCCGGCCACGAGCGCCCCGACGTCGCGACCGCAGATGTTCCACGACGGCTACCAAGCGCGCGAGTACGAACGGTCCCGCGCGCCGCCGGCCAACACACCGTATATGATGCCGTCGCCCCGACACCATCCTGGCATGGAAAACGTGCCCCGGGGCGCGCCCGCGCCGTCGCGCACGGGTCACTTGACGCCTGTTGGGTACGCCGAGTCGCCACGTGAAGCGGCACGGTTGAGTGCCCCGGCTGGTGGCCCAAGTCCTGGTATGCACCGGGGACAGCGTGTCATGATGTACCCGCCGGGCACTGCGCCGCCGTCGGCCGGTCCACCAGGCGCCTCGAGCGCCCGCGACTCGATTCCTACTGCCATGCACGGCCGGTACGCGCCGCCGCCAAGCAACCCGCGCGGCCCGATGCCCCGGGGCATGATCTCGATTGCGGACTTGGACAAGAGTGCGTCATCGTCTGGCCGCCTCCCGCCGCCACCGAGCAGCGACGGGCGCATGCGCATGTTCCCAGGTGACGCGCCGCCGAGCGCGGGATCGTACCCCCCAATTGCATCGGGTCGCCGGGTCGCATGCCGACGCCGCGCGAGTGGGATGAGCAGCAGCAACAACAACAACAACAGCAGCAACAGCAACAGCGTGCCCCGGGGTACCCCGATCAAGCCGGCTTTCGTCGCGAGGAGCCGCGCATGTACCCGCCGGCCGACCGCTATGCGGCCATGCCGCCACCGGAAACGTCAGGGTACTATGAGCGTGGCATGTCGCGCTACCCGCCAGTCCCCGGCGGGTTTGCGCCGCCGAGCAGCAGCAGCAGTACTGCCAACCCCCCGAGCGGAGGCCCCGACCCCGCGCCGCCGAGTACGCGCAGTACGCCCGTCGCATGCAATAGGTCGTGCGGCATTAGAACCAGAAACAACACCGTATTTGTATCACTACGACGTGTGCGGTGTCATGTTGCGGGCGCGCGCGAGCTTCTCGGCGAGAATGTCTTTCTGCGTGCGGAGGCCGCTCATCGGGACGAGGCGCGAGCAAAACTCGAGGAGCGCGTCGGCCGTCTTGTCGGGACAGTCTTCCTGGATCACGTGGCCGCTGCCGTAGAGCAAGAGCAGCTGAAATTTGCCTGCGTCGGGCGTTAAAGTAACGTGACAGGCGTCGCTCGGTACCTTGCATTTGACCGCGGGTGAGCGCCGTGTCGAGGCGATCGGTGCCTGCATTATGTTCTTCCTCTCAAGAAGCAAGAGAGAGGATTATGGTACCGGCAAGCAAGAGCACCTTGGGCAGCGTCGTGCCAAGAAAGAGCTCGCTAATGCCTGTGAACCACCCTAGAAGAAGACCATGCAGATGTGTGGGCACGATGTGCTGGCGATGTGAAGACGGACCCTTCCAGTACTTGGCGCTCGCCCGGAGGTTGGTGCGCCAGATGTAGTGGTCGCCGTCGCGGATTATCTGCGACGGGATCGAGACGCGCGCCGACTCGGCGTTGCGCACCGCGCCCGTCTGCAAGCTACACGCATGTGGGTGGAAGAGCTTCAAATCGTAGTCGATCGTAGGCACCTCCATTGCACGGCCTCGTCTTCGCTGGCAAAGGTATCGGGCCGGTTGGCCAAGACAGCTTGCATGTGGCTCAGCGCTGCGAGCGCCGTCCCTTCGACAACGTCAATGACAACCATGCCGACGAGCGTCTTGAGGAGCCCCGACGCCGCTACGCGGATCGCGATCGCGCCGCCCATGCTATGGCCCACGAGGATCATGGGGCTGCCACGCTCCGTCGCCGACGGGCCCTCGCCCGGCAGAATGCGCTGCAAGACGCGAACGGTATCGTTGACCAGCGTCTCTTCCGAGAGATCGCCATCGTTGGCCGTGCGCGTCTCTCCTAGTGTACGACACATTGCCGGCATCCGGTCATCGGCGGCGACTCACCGTGGCCGCGAAAGTCGGGCGCCACCACGCGGCAGTGCGACTTGAGCAGTTTCTAAGCGCAGCGCCATGGGTATCGCTACCACATTGAGTCGGGTCTACCGTCGTCAAGGCCCACGTGAGGCCCGTGTGGCCGCCACCATGGAGAAGCACGACAACCGGGCCCTCAGCGCCGGCGAGGTAGACGCGGAAGACCTATGCGACCGCATGAGCCGTCGTCGCCGCCCGCCATGGCTCCGTACGTCGCCGTCAACGTCAACGTCTTCGCTCCGGTCGTAGTACTGCGCCCACCTAAGCATCCTCGGGCCATGTCCTCCGGTGCAGGACGATGTCGTACCGTGGATCCGCCATCGTGGCACAAAAAAATGTGGGTCGTCGACAAATTCGACGCTGCAAGTGCGCGAACTTCAAGTGCGAGACAGGCGGCTTTTGGAATCTATTTTCAACCATGACCAGCGTCAGCGCTGGCGAGTCGATCCTGGCGCTGTACGCCGCACAGTTCCTCAAGGCGCCACCGCCAACGACGACCGTGCCCTATGCATATGATGCGAGTGGTGAAGACGACAACCAAGCCCAAGCGGCGGCCGGCCACGACTCGGCGCGCAAGAATGACCTTCGACTGCCGGGAGGAGTCACGATCGAGGACGAGTTGTCCGAGCCCGACGACGAGCGGCCGGCCGCGCCTGTGCCAATCTACATGGCACCTCAAAACTACAGCATGGGCGAGGTGCCAGTATTGCCTTCGTCGACGAACCGCGTCGAGGCGCAGGCGATTCCGCCGCTGTTGCAGTCGTTGCTGCGCTCGTTCGCGGACCAAAAAGCACAGATTGCAACTCTACTTCGGTTCACAGGTACTTCACGCATCAGCCTTCATGGTAACATATGCACCATTTGCGTACATAGGCTCGTTGAGCTGCGCACCCGCGTCGATGGACGGACCGCTGACACCCGAGACCATTCGCGATGCAGCCGAGCACGTCGTTGGCATCCAGTCCGGACACGACCGCCTGTCGCTCGCGCGTACAGCTGTGCTGCTCGCCAACCTCTCGTTGCAGGCCGAAGTGGCCGTCATGCATCTGGTCTCTACCATTGGCGGGCACACCCCCATGAAGCAAACCCACAGCAAGAAAGTACCGTCTGTGGCAACGCCACCGGCTCGGAGCCCCGTGCACCGGGTCACGCTCCAGCCGTCGCTCTCGGCGACGCTCGAGCAAATCGGCGGCTCGTTTCGGGATTTTTTGTACGCGCCACAAGTCGAAGAGAGCTTGTGCTCGCCACGGCCACTGCTGCCACCAGCCGACGTTCTGCCCAAAACCACCAAACCGTCCACCGTCGCCTCCAAGCGCTGCAAGCCATTGCCTCGACGGCTCCTTGGCCGCTCTGTCATCCTCTTCAACGGCATGGCAGGCATCGTCCGCTTTGCGGGCTCGACCGAGTTTGCGAATGGCATCATGTATGGGATCGAACTGCACGAGCCCCATGGAAAGCACAGCGGCACCGTCCACGGTACGACGTACTTTACATGCGCCAAGAACGTCCACGCGGCCCACGCCCTGCCGTACGGCGTCTTTGTGCGTGAAACGCAAATCAAAACGTGGTTGTGATCCGTGCTTTTCTTTAACAATCGAGTATGTTGCATGTTGCATGGGTTGATATGTTGATATGTTGACATTTTTCAAGCGCTCATTTTTGTTGTCTTGCGTCAAGATTGCCGCACTCGCGATCGATGGCAAAGGACGACTGCGCACACGAGAGCCGCCACATCGCACGTATTTGTTCGAATGGAGGGTGTCAAACAACGTTTGCACGAGCTGCTGTACAGCTTGCCAGACCAGGGTTAGGGCTATTTTCCACAACACAAACCAGCGGTTCCATTCCGGCTCCATGGAGTGATTTCACTTGGTCGATGTGCATGGGTGGTGAGCGCAACAGCCAAACGCAACAAAAAAACATCGACGCCTCAGTGTTCTGTGGTTTCTGCATCTTTGCTTGCGTCGTTGGGAGTTGTTTCGTCGGGCGCACCAGACGCCGCCGCCGGCTTGATACCGAGCCAGAGCAACACAACTTGCAATAGCTGCAGCGGCAGCGCGATCGCCAGAAACGCGAGCTGCGCAAGCGTCGCGAGGTGCCCGGCTGGCACCACTTGCGAGAGCGCGAGGACCGTCACGAGGCGCAGAAAGCCGCCAAACATCGACGTCCAGTCCCACGTCCCATAGAGCACGATGCCGGCCACCGCCACGGGCACAAGACCGGCGCCGAGGGCGTGCCATTGGCTTCGCGCCTTCCACGAAGTGTACGCTTCGACGTACGCAGTCGGCACGATGCGTAGCAAGCCGCGCCCGGCCAGTTCGACCACGACCGCAACGCCAAGAAACGAGATGGACGCGAGCGATAACGCCGCCGTGTCGAAGAAGAGAGCTGCCACCATGAGAAGACTGCTGTACGAGCTCTACACGGCCGGTCAGCGACGAGCAGAGAGCTGCTGCTAGGACATACCCAGCAGTAGTAGACGAGGATGAGCTTGTTGAAGAATGACAGCGCCGCCCTAAGAAGTCCTTGGTGGTAAGGCACACTGTTGAGACGATAAGGAGAGACGTGATCTTCTCGAGCGCCGAGTGGTCGTCGACGCCGTCCGCATACGAATGTTGGAGCGCCGAGACGCCGAAGGGCAACGCGAGCACGATGGCTACGTGCACAGGTTCTCCGTCGTCAGCGTATTCCACGAGCCAACAACATGTACCCAAGATGATGTAGACGGTGAAATGCGCATCGTGGGACGTGTACAGCAGAAGCAGCGCCGTGAGGTAGCTGTTAAAGTACCACTCGGCGTGCAGAGGACTAGGCATACAGGATGAGTGCGTAGGATCGAGATGGACCTCATCCGTACTCGGGGCCTTGCAGAAAGAATGCGTCGAGGTACTCGCACGAAGTGTTGCGCAGCCATGTGCACGGGCCGAGGTTGGAGAAGAGCACCAAGAGGTAGGCTAGACGCGATGAGTACATCCATATACGGGTCAGAGCGTACCGCCCATGCCCAGATACGGCCACGACGACGTCCAGACGAGGTACAAAGCGGCGATCGAGCACTTGCGATGCATGTCCTACGCGTGCATGAGCCGCCAGATCGTTCACGGGCGCAAACGAGAGAAGAAGAAAGACCTTGCCAACCACAGCATAGAGCAGCTTGCCCTCGAGCGCGAAGAGAACGCCAAGCGTCTCGATGGAGACGTGTTCGAGAATGAGTTTGCCGTCGCACGTTTCGAGCGCGTGGAGAAACATGGCTTGCACCATCTCGGTCGTTGCGGCGTCCACGGACGACGGCAGCGTAGCGTCGAGCTGCGGGTACTGCTGCACGACGAGGTGCATGGCAGCGGCGATCTCGGCGTCGTCCAAGCCCATTAGGTCGCACTTGGCGTCGCTCGTCTACGCAGGTATGTGTCCCGTGAGGTAACATTAACGTTTGCAGCGAACGGCGTACGAGGTCGCGCCAATGGCCCACGACGTCGGTGCGGCCTCGCCCGATCTCGTAGCCCATTTCCGCCGAGCCCTACGCTCGACCATGAGGCCTCGGTGTACGTAGTCTCGGCAGAGGTACCGATGGCGGTGGCGGCGTCTCATTGCCGGCCTTCTCGGGCCGCCGGCCTGTTGGTCGGCGCTTCTTGGCTGCGGGCGGAGCCATGATTTGTTGCTCGGTATCCGGACGAAGCAATTTTTGACTCGCTAGAAACACGCAATTTCGCGGGTTCGTCGATCGGCAGCTTCGATCGGCGTCGCCCCGGCGCAGAGGTGAACTTTGCTGCGCTGTGACGTTGACGCGTCACGCCATAGCTACGCAAATCTCTAAACAAGACTCGTTAGCATCAGTAAAGAAGGGTCGACTGAACAACACCACGCATCTCGTACTCTAGCTACAACAAGCTATTGCTGCATCACACAATTGATCCATACCCGAACCTTGCTAGCGCGGGTAGCAGCACAGTAGGCTTCGAGCCGAGAGCCCCTGTATCATTTCCTACGACACCTAGTAGTAGTCTTATCCATGTAAATACCCTCGTGAGCTCTTGCAAGCGTAATGCTTACACCTTCCACTTGCACAGTCATAGAACACAAGCATCATGTATTCAAATTTGGACGAGAATGACATCGACATGCACAAGTCACCAAACGAAAGAGCAGAGACGGGAAAACACACTTGTCGTGGGTCCGTCGACGCCTAGTTGCCGCACCAGATGGTGCCGTAGTCGCCGCTATAATATTGGCACGTCGCCGCGTCAAAGTCGTAGCAGGTATCGCCGGCCGGGTAGTAGCACTCGCTGCAGCCGTGGCACTGGTCTGCCGTCGGCGCAGGCGTCTTGGTCGGCGGGTCTTGCGACGTCGGCGTCGGCGACGTGCTGATCTTGGGGTACGACGGGTGCTCGGCGACGTTGCACATGCCGTTGCCACCGACGCCGCGCTGCAAGTAGATGTAGCCGCCCGCGCCCCACGACGTGCCCCATGAGTTCTTGATCTTGAAGTGGTTGACACCGCTGAGC